AGAAATAAAACCTTGGCAGTGGCACAGTGGTATGTCTGCGAACTTACAACGCTAGAATCCGGGTTTCGATACCCGTGGTGGGCAGAGCACAGATAACCCATTGTGTAGCTTTGTGCTTAATTCCAAACAAACAAACACGTTTTTAAGTTGTTTGACTACCTAGCAAATAACAGCAGCTGTAGAACCGTTGACACCCAATCTTTGTAATGCAGGCTGTGGTTTATATTAACCTCAGTTTTCAGTAAATGTACTCCTGTCTATAGTGTTTCACCTCTACTTGTAAAGCAAGCTTCTGGCAGATATTTCGTTTCTAGTAATATTACCATTTTCACGTAACTTTTTTTACGAGTTTCCTGATAAATATCAAAATGATTTACAAAACCGCGCACAAACATTTCGAATTATTTCCTTGTCTTATTTTCCTTTCGAGTCAATGAAACATCAAGTATTAAAAAATGAGTTTCCTTTAATAAATGTAAATCAAAAAGTGGTTGCTTACTTTCTATCTTTCATTTTTACAGCAGAATAGTCTTATCCTTCATCTGATTATCTTCTTCGAATTTATCCTGCCTTCCTAAGTGTTCGTTATTACTTTTATAGATAAACTCACACTTATTATTATTGGAGAATTCGCTGTTTTCTTATTAAAATTCGTTTTATAATAACAGATAATTTATATTTACAGAAAAATATATACGTTTAAAGTTTTCACCGAGACAATGGATCATTTTACTTAACTGGTATATTCATTATCATGATGAAATTTCCAATTGATTTCAATCTGCTGTCTGAAAACTTACACAAGATTAGTCAAGCCTGATTTGATGTTAACTAGCATTCAGTGATCAAGTCAATCGAAATAAAATGTTTTATTTACTTTTATGAGAGCTGGGAGTGGCTCAGTGGCTACCACATCTGAACTGTAAATCCGAAGATTTATGGTTTTCATACCTTCGCCACAACTGCACTCCGTGACGACCAAATCCCACTATTTGATCAGACAAACGTATCCAAACAGTTGGCTGTGGATGCTTTTAACTAACTGTCTTCCATCTAGTCTATGAGGTCAAACACAACGAGGGGTAATTATGAACAGATAGTCCTTGTTCTAAAATTCTAAACAAACAAATTAAATACACTTGCATCGAGGATTGTTATTACTGAGTTAATAAATAGGAATAAAAACATTTCCTTTTTATGATAAAACATATCTGAAAGTAAACGTATAATAAATAAGTTTGAGAATTTACACATTTACTGGTTGTGTCTTTACGAGAGTATCTAAGTAAGATCCAATACCATCTTCTGAATAAAAGTGTGAAAGTACAAAAGAACACAAATAAGAGATTGCATTCCTCATTTCGTTAAACACTTCATGGAGATGAAATTGGAGGTCTACCGGAGTCTAAAAACTGAAGAAAAAATGAAAGAGAGATAGAAGATAACAATTAAAATACAACGTTTCATCAGATTTACACTGTCTTTGACGGCTTTAATAAACATTTTTTAATTGTGTAAATATGAAACTTTGTATTTTAATTACTTACTAGCCGCAACCCGCAAAACATTTGTGATACTATTCACGCCCTTCGCTTGAATTTTCTTTATTCTATCATTTTCACCCACGCCATTTAAGCCATTCTTTTTTGCAAACATTATGTGTTAGATAAATAAATCTTGGTCTATTTGAAAAGATTTTAAGCAGTCAGACAAATAAACTCACGTAGACGTAAGTTTATCTAATAAAACTGCATATAGGTAATTTTATTTAATAAAACTACCAGGAAAGTAAACAATAAAGTAAAGTAATAGTATTTATACTAGTGTACAGAGTATGAAAGAGTTTTGAGTATTCAGTGTATGATACGGTTTTAGGAGTTCAAACAAATAAACTCACAAAAACGAAGAATAAAATACGTACTAAACAAAAAAACAGCTAAAAGGTGTTTGTAGCATTCTGTGAAACGAACAAAAGCTGAGTTATTGCAAAGTAAAGTTAATAAAAAGTTGTAGTGAAAGCAAACTTAGCTTAATATGCAGAAACGTCTGAATGCGTGTTCACAAAGTGATAAGCATATGGTTTGAACGAACTGCGCATGCGTATTTTACTTCTAAATAAGTCGAGAAAGCTCATAGCAATTATATTTACTGTGATTGTGTTGTTTGTGTGAAATGCTTTACAAATAAAAACTAAAGTTCAAATCGAAGCCAATCGTCACATGGTGACAACAGCAATGAGCCATCGTGTAGCATACTCGTTGCATTAAGAAGTTTGACTAAGCAGAAAACAGGAAAGGTGATTCTGAATAGAAAAGTCAGTATACAATCCAGACTCTTCAGACAAAGGCATTTCTAACGATATGAGATTTATAGCGTTTGATCAAAAAATTTGCGAGAAAAGTTCTGAACTGACAAACGCAAGCGTATTATTTACACAGTTTATATTTTAAACATTACACAAGTGCTGAATGCTCTTATTTAGAAAATAACGACGTTTATAAGAAAATGTTTTAGTATATCGTTATTATATATATATATATTTGTCTTAACGTTGTCTCCTTCCAATGTGATTGTCATGAGATGTGGCAATGAGTTAGATCACAATCACATCTACCGATTTCAGCATCAGAACGAATAATAATCATGCTGGAACATAAGCTACAAGTATTTAAGATAGCCAATGAAATGCATGTGTTGAAGGAATAACTGCAAGAGACTAATGTCAGATTTTCGATAAAAAGATTATTATTTGCTTACTGAACAAGCAAGTCACGAGAACAAAATATACTAAATCGATAGAAAATAATGATACAATTAATTGTCATTAATTTTAAAGAACGATTTTCAGTTGCTGTTGTTTTTTACTTTTTGGACCATAGAACGAAATTATTAATCTGTTTGTTGTCAAGCGCAAAACTACACAATTGGCTCTCTGACCCGTGCCCACCACGAACATCGCAACCTGCTTCCTTGGGGTGTGAGCTTTCAGACTTACCGCTAAGCCCAGGCC